GAGAATTCTGCCTCTGGATCAGCAGGGAGCAGGAAGAGAATGACTCTGGGCTTGGATGGGCTTTTGAAATCTCAAAGTCCACCCCCCAGTGACACATTTCCTCCAACAAGGCCACACCTCCTAATCTTTCCAATCCTTTCAAATAGTGCCACTCCCTAATGACTAAGCATTCAAATGCATGAGCTTATGAGGGCCTTTCTTATTCAAACCACCAGGACATCTCTCTATCTTCCTGTGAACAGAGTTTGGTGAGTATTTATGATGAAAGTGAGACCAGGATGCTGATACAGATGTAGGCATTCACGTTAAGATTCTGCGTTTTGATGGATGTAAGGTCTCAGCTGGGAATGGGATTGGGGTTTTCCTTTGTTGAAATAGGCAAAGGACTGGCTGCATTTTGTCCTATACTTGGGCCTTTGTGCAAAGGCCAGGATTACTTTGTCTGGCAGAAGAAATTTGTTTTAGACAACTTTATGGTACAAATTGAGATTAAAACAAAAAAGAGTTTGAAATTTTTGTAGTTTGGAGAGCAAAGGGGCACAGGTAGGATTTCACCCCAGGAGGGTTCAGTTTCTAGAGCCAATACAGGATAGCCAAGCACCTGGTATCAAGATGAAAGGAAGGGGCCTCAAGGGCAACTCAGAAATCTGCAATCTCCACCCTCTCCCCAGTCCTTAAATGCATTGTCCTAGACAGCAGTAACTGTCAGCTCAATACAGACTGGAATGCCCAGAGAAAAAGAGTTTTGATGAGTAATTGTCTCCATCAAGTTGGTTTGGGATGTGTCTGTGGGGATTGTCAATTGTCGCTACTGATGCAGGAGGGTCCAGTCTGCTATGGGCGATACCATCCCCTGGGCAGGTGGTCCTGGGCTGCATAAGAAAGCTAACTACGCCTGAGTCCATGAGCAAGCCAGAGAAGCAGAGGTGAGCAGGTAAGCAGCACTCCTCCATGGTTTCTGCCTTCAGTGCCTTCTCTGTCCCCTCACTGATGGACTGTGACCTGGAAGTCTAAGTCAAACGAACCCTTTCCTTTCCTTAAGTTACTTTAGGTCAGTACTATCACAGCAACAGGAAAGGAACAAGAAGAGACATAAATATATAAGTATACATTGTTTCAGTTTCTTCTCAGAGTGAAATCATTTCGGAGACGAGCTTGGAACATGTGGAACTCCTCTCCCAGCATTCAGACGCCCTGGCACTCCTCAGTTGTGGTCCCAGTGCATGACCCTGATGGCAGAACTTGGTAGTGGGTGTATGGTGCTGATTTTGCCGACACAACACAACTTCCACGGAGGTTTCAAAGGGAGTCGGAGAGACAAACAGCATGCTGTGAGGTTGGTATACTCTATACACAGCCCCTGACAGGGTAATGCATGGGGCCGGGAGAGAAGCTGCATCTTCTTACCCCAAGTAAGCAATCCTTCTTCTCTGAAGCTCCAGGGCAGTGTGCAAAGCTAGCCTGTGAGAAGGACCACATGGGACTGGACCCTGGGTGCCAGGAGCCATGTTCTGTCATCGTGTACCTCATATGCTGGGGACAGGGGATGTGGTCTTCCTGCTTGCCCTACTGGGTTCAGGTCTCACTTTGGACTGATCCCCCCTTGTATATCCTCTCTTTGTTGTTGAATTCCTTAATTTAAAATGGAAATGCTCAGCCCTGCTTCTGTTCTGCCCTTGAATGTGGACACATAGTGATTCCTTTTTGATTTTCACAAGGGCTCAGAGTGGAGCCTTTAGACGTGGGCCTTAGACCACTGCTGGAGACTCTTAGGGAGGGATGAGCTACATGCAGCTGACATTGTGAGATGGACCTGAGGCCTTGGGACCAGGGGTGACTGCTATGGGATGTAGACAGTGTCCCCTCAACACCCACGCGCTAAAGCCTTGGCCCACAGGACAGCACTATTGTGAGAGTCTATGTATCACACCCACTGAGGGCTTGGCTCATTCTGGTCTTGGATCAATCCCCTTGAAGGGGACTATGTGGAAATCTCCTCTTTGCCCTCTTCTTTGAAATGAAGAGTTTGCAGTGTCCTGTCCCCCCTAGTGGGAGCCAAAGCAGTGGCCACCTCTTCTTGAACGGAACTGACAAAGTCGTGTGCTAAATGCATCATTTCTCACCAAGGCGATTGCCTCAGGCACTCTCCTACAGTGGCAAAAGGCTGAGGAACAGGAAACTCCATTTCCGCAGCCGCACACTAATGACATTTGTAGGTAGGACCTTTGGGAGGTAATTGAGTCACGATGGCCACTTCCTGAACGGACTGGTGGTTTAATGGGCCACTGCAGGAGCGGGTCTGTTGTGAAACTGAGCTCTCGTGTCTCTTGCCATCCTCCGCTGTGCCGCACCGCACCATACGGGCCCTCACTGGGAGCTTGGCAGCTGTTGGCACCGTGGTCTTGGACTCCCACCCTCTAGAACCGTGATCTAAACAAACCTCTCTCCTTCATGGATTACCCACCCAGTCTTTGGTTTTCATTTGCAATAGGAGAAAATGGACAAAGACAAAACTCAAGAGGAGCCAATGGACCCTCGATTGCCTGGCTATGTCCTGGGGAGTCCATAGGCCCAGAGACCTTCATCATATCACCATGGTCAGGCCTTTTCTTCCCACCACGAAGGGTTCAGAGTCTGTGGGGCCAGGTGTTGAGCATGAGACTTCTCCAACTTGATCCTTCCCATTTCCCTGCCCCTCGTCACTGGTGACAGTCCGTCCCTGGCCTCTATCTCTCCACCAGAACAGAGATCAGAGTGTCCTGTTTCTGTCAGACTTGGTTCTCAGCAGGGTTCTGGCCAGTCCCTTCCCACCCTGAGTAGCAGGACAGTCAGCAAAGCTAGCTGAGCAGATGGGTGAGAGGGCAGGAGAAAGGCCTACCTTTGAGAGGTGACTTTTGCTCTATTTAGAGCTCTAGTTTTAGTCCTTGCAATGTGCCAAGACCTTAGGATTGCCCATGAGTGTCTGCACGGGAGGGAGCGATTCTCACCGAGAGGTCATCATCCTCAGGAGTGAAGGGCACCTCTGGTCAGGAAGGGTGGCGCCTCGCCGAACCCTGGCTGGCAGTGCAAACGGTGTGTTTTCCCTGGTTCACAGAAGGTTCAGACTCAGCGGGGGCCTCAAAATGCTGTGAGACTCAGTTTCCTCTCCAGTATAACACAGACAAGATTGAACATGTCCCATGCTGTCCTGAGTCACGGATGTATGTGATGATGTGTGCTTGTGCCAGGAGTGACTGTGTCTCTGTGGATAAGCTCTTCCCACAGGAATCTACTTAGAAAGTTCTTCCTTTGAAAGGGCTCCTGTGACCACACCCATCCTACTCCAGTCTGACTTCTAGGGACCAGGGCTGTGGGAAGCTTGTGTCTGTTGAGCCCCCTGTAGAAGCCAGGACCAGAAAATCAGTGGCTCAGCTGCAGACAGGCTTGCTTGCCTCCAGGCTGTGAAGGGCTCCATGAGTCCAGGGGCAGAGGCCGCGCTTCTGTCTTCTCTCTCCCTCCCTCCCACGGGCCCTGCTCCCTGGAGGCTTCCTGCTGCAGTGTGGCCGCAGGAGGGAGACCTGCAGAGTCTGGCCATGTCAAAGACATCCAGCCTATGAGGGCATGGGAACCACAGTTCTCCTGGACTGCAGGCTCCAAAGTGGGCAGCTTTTCTGCCCAGTTCGCCTAGAGATTACCCCAGGTGTGGAGAGCCAGACCAAGCCAGGACTTTCTCCGAGGCCCTGATGACAGGACAAAGGGAACTTTAGCTCCGTGTCCTGGCTCAGGAGTGGACTTGGCAAAGCTGATGTAAAGCTGGAGTCAGTGCCTCACAGGAGTCAAGGTATAGTTTCTGGGGACCTGAGTCCTCCCCCAGGGCTGTGGTTCTCAGTCCTTAGGCAGCTGGGTCTGAGGTATCCTGTGTTCTCTTTGCCAGCATCGTCTGACTTGGCTCTCTGCTGACCTTGGCTATTTTTATCCCTGATAATAGTTTACAGGATGTCAGAATTCGGAATGAACCTGCTTGGCAGAAGTCACCAGCTTTTGCAGGACCTTCTGGTCACATTTTACATTGTCTGCTTCATTTCTCATCCCCGGTCCTCCCACTTCGGGGCCCCGATTCCTTCGGGTTTGGGCCACCCAGGTGGGAGAGCGCCAAGTGTCTCCACAGGAGCCCAGGACAGACCTCATTCAGTCTTGCACATGGATTTCCAGCCTGCTTGACATCTTGGTTCTGTGTGCACAAGACTGGGCGGAGTCATATGCTTCTGATTTATGGAAATGAAGTCAAAACACACATACATTTCTATGTTCTTAAACTTGTAATTGTTTCTACAACGGTGGCGTGGGCGGAGTCTAGAAGCCTCCAATGATGAGAAGAAGGGTAGAGCTTTTGACTGTGTGCTAACCCAGCTCAGCCCCACCCATTAGCAATAAGCACTTACCAAGCCCCTCCCTCCACTGAGATAGGCACTGTCTGCCGTTGCCCTCCATGTGCTCCTACTGTGATGCACCCGCGGGGCAATCACTCAGGATGGTCTTGTGGGAATCTATAAGCATTTTCTTGTCTGCCCCTAGACCTTTTGGTTCCCAACACCCACATCTTGTTGGTCAATATGACATATACAGCACATTCCCACACATCAGCTTAAAGTTCTTAAAGTGGCCTCCTGCAGCCACGCGCTCTGCACGCACACTCCGTCCTGGTCCCCAGGGCCTTTTCAAGTCCATTTAATTCTATTTATGATCTCACCACCAACAGTGTATAAATTAAAGGGCGGATGGACGGACGAATGAACGGACTTGCATGCATAATCCGCCAGCCTTGTTCGAGGCCTCCAAATGCAAGGATATAATTTTTTTTAGGCTAATAAATGAAAAGCAGCTTCCCCTCCCGCCCAAGTGCTGCCTCAGCAGTCAGAGTTCAGCAAACGGCACATTCGTCTCTCTGGGGGACGGTGCCAAGGATAATATTTTGGCAGGTTATCTCAGCAGCTACTCAGTACAACGCTGCCGGTCAAAGGTCAGTTTATGAAGCAGGGATTTATAAAGTGAAGTTGGACCGGAGCTCTGCAGAGTCTACCTCAAGGAGCAGATCCATCTTATCTCTGACATATCTGGATGGGTGGTTGAGTCGAAGCCCGACTTGGTGTCCAGGCCCTCAGGCTGCCCTACTCCAGTCAGGAGCACCTGTCTGTCAGTCCATGTTGACTTCAGGAAGGAAGAGGAGGGGTCACAGAGACAGACAGATCAAGGGTCATTCTTCAGTGCACAGTGGTGGTGAGGTAATGCATACATGCAGGCATGTGTGTGTCTGTTGTACCTATGAGAAGGGGCAGTCACTGGCATGTGTGTGCATGTTTGTGCACAAGCATGGGAGTTTTGAGTATGTGTGTGTCTCTTCATGTGTTAATGTCTGCACCCAAGTATATAGCTATGTGTATGCAAGTTGACACATCCACATCTGTAGTTGCATGTGCATACATGTGTGTACATATACAAATATATCCATATGTAGCTGCATGCATGTGTGTACATGTGAATGTGTACATTTGTGTTTATATATGCAAATGTGTATGCTTGTATACATGTGAAAGTGCAGGTTTGTGTATACATTTGCAAGCATGTGTGCTTATATACATGTATATATATGTTTATACATTTGTGTATGTCTATGTTTGGGGCTGTCTTCTAGAGAAAGACCTCTTCTGTATCTTAAGTGTCTCTAAACACGCTGTTCCTCTGATTCTGGAGTTCCATGATTAGCACAGCAGACTGTGCTGGTGAGTTTTTATCAATTTGACACAAACCTAGACATGTATGGAAAGAGGAAATCTCGGCTGAAGAATTGCATCCACCATACTGGCTTGTGGTTGATGTGGGAGGGTCCAGATCACTGTGGGTGGGTCATCCCTGGGGAAGTGGTCCTGGATAGTACAGAAAAGCAGGCTGAGCAGGCCATGGGGAGCAAACCACTAAACAGTGTCCTTCCACGGCCACTGCTGTAGTTCCTGCCTTCAGGTTCCTGTTTGGGCATCTGCCCCCACTTCCCTCAGTGAAGGACTATATAAACTGCAGTCCAAATAAACCCTTTCCTCCACAGGTTTCTTATGTTCCAGGTGTCTATCACAGCAGCAGAGAGGTGAATCAGGACAAGGCCAAACACGGAAATTTAGGAATCATGGGCTTTTCTATAACCCTCTTCTCCTTTCCTATACCCAGGCTGGTGTTTTCTCTTCAGCAGTGACTACTGCAGGGTGCTTACTTCAGCAGGCAGGAGGAAAATGGCCATGGTGAACTTCAAGATGGACAGCCAACGCCTGCCTCTGGAAGCGGCCATGCAGGAGCATATCCACTGTGATGCCTGTGCAAGCATGGGCCTGCGGTTTTGCTGTGGCACTTGTTCGTGGGTCTGCCCTTCTGCTGTGGCGCCTGCTCGTGGGTCTGCCCTTCTGCTGTGGCCCCTGCGCATGGGTCTGCCCTTCTGCTGTGGCGCCTGCATGTGGGTCTGCCCTTCCGTTGTGGCGCCTGCACGTGGGTCTGTCCTTGCGAGGCGGAAGGACTGACTGGTTTTGATATCTGTAGCTGCTCTCCTCATAGTGAAATTCAATGGGATGTGTCAGTCAGCTGGGAGCCAGGAATGACCAAGCATGCAGGACCCAGCTCTACCCATGGTGGATTCTATGTGTTTTGACTCCTATGTGATAAATGCTGATATCCAGTTATGAACAACGGCTTGACACACGAGCATGAGTGAGGCCATTTGCTCAGTGGGCATGGCCAGAAGTCAGCGTCCTCACGTGTGTTTCATAGAGCAAGATCTCTAGAGAGGAACAGCTTCATGGTAGAGAAAGCGGTACCGGGAGAGCCTGAATAAGGCTGCTGTCCAGCTGTGGTGGTCTGAATGAGAATGCCCTTCACAGACTCATATGTTTGAATGCTTGGTCTCCAGTTGGAGGAGCTGTTTGTAGGAAGGATTAGGAGGTATGGTCTTGTTGGAGAAAGTGTGTCACTGGGGGGGGGGCTTTGAGGTTTTGAAAACCCACGATCTCTCTTGTCGCGACCACCTCGACCAGGACCAGCAAGGAAGACGCAACCGGAGCTCTTCTTGCAAGCAGTTTACTCCGGACCTTGTTACAATAGTTTCTCTCGCTTCTCTCCCCGGGCAAGCTCCTCCCAGCCCTTAAGTAGCCCTGGTCAGCCAATCCTGGATCGCCACATGAGTACTGTCCATAGGTCCACTTATACGCAAGCAACTTACGATCATTGCGTGATCCTAGCCTTAGCCAAATAAGGTGTTGTTTACCACTGAGAGCACCCGCTTTCGGGATCTCGGAAGGCAGAAGCCGGTGCCATCTTTTAGGTGCAGCTCCACGCAGCTCTCTACACTCTCTGTCTGTCAGTCTGTCTGTCTGACTGACGGTCTCTGTCTCTCTGTCTCATACTTGCAGGTAAGGGTGTAAGTTCTCAGCTGTTGCTCCTGCCTACCCACTGCCACTCTTCCTGCCATGTTAGTCTTGGATTCTGTATGAGTCAAATGAACTCTTCCCTCTACCATGGCCTTGGCCATGGTGTCTCATCACAGCAACAGAAAAGTCACTAAGACCCCTGGGAATCTGGGGACAGGAACACTAAGGTATCTCCCTCAAAAAGGTGAGTCTTTGGGGTTTGGGTGGTGGAATATATCTATCTGCTTTCCTGTGCTTGGCCCTAAGTTGGATGTAAGAGCAAAACTCAGAAGAACTGTTGGCAATGGAGCAGATCCTGCTGCTCTAGGGGGTGGTGGCTGTTGGGACTGGGATTGGCTGCCCTGGATGCTATAAGAGAAAATAGTTTTAGCCTTGTTTGTTTCAGGGCAGCCTGCTGGGATGGGTGCTGAACTCAGCAATGATTTTCTGGGGGAGTCTAATACAGACTACAGGTTATTTTAAAAGATCCACAGCATTTGTAGACCCTGGGGACCAGGAGCCTCCTCAGCTCTCAAGAACTGGTAAGGAAAATGGAAGCCTGGAGACTCTGCCAGGGAGTCTGAGGGGAGAGGGGAAGATGGGTGTCCGAGTCCAGTCTTGTAATTATCTCTGTTGTTCACGCCATCCTTCTCTGGGTGAAGGGAAAATCAAGGGTCCAAATAGGACGGGGAAGCCCATTGAAAAGGGGGCAGGAGCCAGATGCTTCTGAGTGAATTCAAATGGACACTGAACTCCCAGCAGGAAAGTAATAAAAAGGTTATGTGAACAGAAGGTTTGAGAAAAAGCAGCCAGCCTGCCTCGGAGATTCAACAGGGAGCGCTGAGTAGAGAGAACTCTGCGGCTGTGGGACTGAGGAAATAGCTCAGAGGAGAAAATGAGTCCGCTAGACTCTGGGTCCCTGGAAACCAAGCAAGCCCAGCACACGTCTTGCAAAATGAGAGACAGACACAGGGACAATGCCCCCATCCAGATGAGGGCCAGCTTGTCCGGCTCACACAGTAGGTCAGGTCCTGAGATCCAGCACCCCAACCCCCTCCGCTTCCTTCCTTCAGGAGAGAAAGATGTTTTCACCACATATGTAGCTAGCAGGCATGTTTGACGATAAGAACTAAAGCCTTAGGACCCACACCCAATCAGGTTCCTCCCAGCAACAAGAACAAGCTCTTCTTCTGGGAAGAGAATCCCATCCTGGAGTCTGAGAGCATGTGGTCCAGCCCTCTACACAGTGGCTCTTCACTCGGGGACTGGCCTTGTGTAGGTCCTGGTCCTCTATGTGCGATGATGATGTGTTGTTAGATTTACTTTTACTGTAGTTGATTGATGAGGAATGCACACGGCAGGTTCACGTAATGGAACACTTAGTCTTCAATTGGTGGTGTGTGGTTGCAGCCTTTGATTTGCCCCTGCACTGTCTGGGGAACCCTAGATTCCCTCCCCTCCAATCACAGCCTGCTTAGAGTCTCCAAAGAACAGGGGCCGAAAAGTTAAGTTCCGCATTCCTGGTGGCTAGTGCAGTTTCCTCCTCCCACACTGCTGGCCGCCCACGTCCCCTTCTAAGCCCTCAGCTTTTGGTCACACTTGCTCACAACCCCAACATGTGCCAGACACATCATCATCCCTTACTTACAATCTATAACCCCCCCAGACCTCATCCCAGGCTTGTGACTTCTCTGGCCTCGTTCTCAGCGACCAGCGAACCTGCCTGGGAGTTGCTTTGCTCTCAATAAACCTGCTGTTGTACTTTTCCAGTTCCGCTTGGTCTGGCCCACAGCACGGGTGGAAAAACTTATTATGGGGGACAGAAAACCTATTAGGTGGAACTATTATGGAGCCTCTATGGGGTGCAGTCTTATTGGAAGTACATTTCTAGGATTGCACTTTGAACGTTCATAGTCCGACCCCACCTCCTGGGCTCTCTCAACTTCCTGTGTGTGGATAAAATGTGATCAGCCAGCTTCCTGCTTCTGCCACCATGCCATGACGTGCCCCCTATGACGTTATGACTCTGTGGTGGACTCTGTCCTTCCCTCTCTTTCCCTGGGTCGCTTTGGGTACGGTGTTTGTTCACATCATAGGACAGTGGCTAATACATCTGGAGACCGTGTCTGCAGCACGAGCCAGGCGCTCGGGATGGCCTGTGAGACTCCGCACAGAGGCACTCCCTGCAGGCTAATGAACGTGCCCCATGGCCCTCCGTGAAGAAAGGCGGAGCAGCTATTCCTTTCTTGGGACCCAACGACTCTGGATTCACAGTCAGTGTCTGGTGTGAGCTCACATGCTCCTGCAGGGGGGCTGCTTTTCTATAGCATTGCTGCACCTAAGCCAAGGTTGATCATTGTGGGTGTGACTTCTGCTTTTGTGTGACTTCTCCTGAGGAGGTGTGAACAATGTATATTCACCCTAGAGATCGACCCTACAGACCAGTGTAAAGATTCTTGCCCTGAGGTGGGGTGGGATGGGGTGGAGTGGGGTGTGTGGGGTGAAGTGGGGTGTGTGGGGTGGAGTGGGGTACGTGGGGTGGAGTGGGATGGTGGTGGGGTGGGGTGGGGTGGGGGTGGAGTGGGGTAGAATGGGGTGGTGTGGAGTGGAGTGGGGTGGGATGGGGTAGGGTGGGGTGGAGGTGGGGGCACCTGTTCCTTTACTGATGGTTAGTGAGATAATGGCCCTTTGTTACCAGGATTTGTTAGTATAGCTCTCAGGATTGTAAACAACCATGGAGGGAGCTTTAGACCCTACTAACCAGGAGTATGTAGCAGAGCTGGTGGGTCAGGAGAGGTCCTGGTTTTCAGTGCTTCACCAGGTCTGAGTGCATCTGATGCCTCGAGCAGAGTCTTCTCTGAGACCAAGGTCCCGAGAGGCTTGCTCAATGATGGCAGGCAGCTGTGACAGATCTCTGTCAGCCTTCTCCTAGCATCCTGGTGGCCTGAGACAGGGAGGGATAATCTCCAGGGCCCACTTGGAACTGGGCATATGGAACATGAGATCCCGAAAGCAGGATACCTGCTTCTGGCTCCTCCCAGCCCCACACCAGCACTGCGGGTCCCTTGCTTCCGGTCATTGTTTTATACTCCTGCCCCTGAGACTCAGCAAGTCCCTTTACCTCTCCTTCACCGGCTTTCCTGTGACATCCAGCCATTTCTCATCTCAGGGTTGTTCGTTACTCTACACACTTGGGGAACCAGCGGATCTTCTTATTTCCCTTGGAGGGTACCTTAGCTTGAACTGACTCTTTCCTCTGTATGGCCTGGGCCTGCTACCACTTCCAGCACACAGTAGGTTGCTCAAAAATCTGTTGAGAGGAGTAGTAAAGGCCCCCGCCGTGCAGGTTCATTGACCTGAATTTCCCAATGGGAGGAGAGATCCAAACTGACTCCACAAAGTTGTCCTCTGACCCCCGGAAGCTGTGGCATTCCATAGCACATGGTACACATCATCACATATAACACGTACACACACATCACACACAGCACATGCACATACATCACACACAGCACATATACATACAGCACATACACAGCACACATAGCATGAACACACACACACAACAGTACACACATATCACACACATCACACACGCATGTACACACAGTGTGTGCAAATCATCACACACATCACACACATATCACACATGCATGTACACACAGCGTGTGCACATCATCACACATAGCACATACACACATATCACACATAGCACATACATACACATCACACATAGCATGTACACACACATCATACATACACATCTACATTACACAAGGCACAGACATACACAACATACGCACAATATATCACACAGACATATACATCACACACACCACATGTACACATCACACATACACATATATGCATAAAACACACAGCATGTGCACACACACATATATATAATAAATTAGAAAAATAATTTGGACAAGGGGCCAGGAGATAACTCAGTTGATAAAGAGTTTGCCTTGCAAGCATGAAGACCTGCATTTGGATCTCTGAAGTCCGTGTAGAAAGCTGGACACTGCGGTAACTCCTGCCATCCCAGGGAGATTGGAGACAGAATGGCAGGTCTCTGGATGCTTGCAGGCTGGCAAGCCTGGCCTATGTGTCAGAAGTTCCAGGCCAAAGAGAGACTCCGTCTCAAACAGTGCTCACGATAACTCCCACACAAGGATGCTCCTTACACCCAGAACACCGTAAGGGGACACCCTGAGAATCCTAATGGTCTGACAAGGAATGAAGCATCAGAGATAGAAAGGGACACCCATGGAGGGCCTGTGCCCCAGCACTCGCTCTTCTAGACCAGCTACCGCACACAGAGGGGCGGCATCGCTACAATTCTGTAAGAGCTGCCCAGAGCCGGCCGTGTGTCAATGTTGGCTTCCTTCCTCTGCTCCTTGAATTTCATGGATGTGACATTTCATTTCTGGAGAAAATCGATATTCGGATTGGCAAACAGACACAAATGTTGCAATCATTCTCTGAAATGTTACACCAACATCACAGGCTGGCTGTGTCCCCAGTAGGGGAAGAGGGCATGTTTGAACATGTTTTGCTTAAATAGAAAAGGAGGGGCTCTGGGAAGGGGAGGGTGAGGGGAAGTGGAGTGTAAACATTCATTGTGGAAATGCAGGAAGGAAGGCTGAACACGGTTCCTTTACCCGGGGTGGGGAACTGAGCCACAGAGGATACTGTCTGTCTATCGGCTGGGACAGCCTCAGGTTGGCCAGAGCCTGGCGACAGCTTACCACTCAGCCAGCCTGCCTAGGAACTGGGCCCCTGCTAGACGATGGGTTGGATGTGGGAGAGACATGAAGCCAGACAGGTCATCATAGCTGCCCTAAAAGAGATCTTGGCCCTCGACAGGCCTATGTGTCGCTATGGTGAAGCCCCTGGATGCTGGAAATTACTGTGTGAAGATAAAGGGCTGAAGGGTTTCTTTTCCTTCTCTTCCACACGTTTTTGGAAGTCACAGGTCTGTGGCTAAATTGCCCCATGCATTTGGTATCTAATTAGGGCCCTTGGGTGGTAGTCCAGACAGTGACAAAATAGGAAGTAATGAATGTGTATCCAAGGGGCCAAGCCCACGAGTGGTTTTACTCTATCACGTCAATGAGAGTGAGGGTCGAGAAAATGGCTTAAGGAGTTCTTCTCCATAATCTTGTCTGGCTCCCTGTGCTACCTCAGTACCACACAGTCCCTTGAGAACTAGCAGTGCAAACCCTCCCTGAAGGTGGCACCCCCAAGACGACAGCGCTCACCCCAGCTCCCAGCATGTGAGCATTTGAGGGGTACCCTTAACGTTGTCCTCCACAGCAACCCTCTTCTTTAGTGTCCTGTTTGTCTCCATGATGAAACGCCAGAGCTTTACTTTCGGAGTTTCAGCCTGGGATTGTCTGGTCTCCTGCCGCTGAACTGTACCTCGGGAAGCTGCTCACTTCATGGGAATCAGGAAGTGAAAGGAAGAAAAGGGATCTGGGTCCCTGCAAAGACCTAACTTCCATTTCTTAAGTCCCTCCTCCTAAAGGACCTACCATCTTCACTAGGGACACTGCTTCTAAGAGGAGTACTGTCCTTTAGAGGATCACCCCTCCTCCGGCATTGCTCAGCCTCCCCTTCTATGGAGTCAGTGGAGATGCTCCAGTGCACAAGTCATTGCATGAGTCTATAAAGTCTGTTCCTAGGCTCTTATCTTGCAGGTATGTCCCTGGGACAAAGAAGCCCACAAAGAGTGAGGGACTAGTTAAGGTCACACAGTAAGTGCTGGGCAGAACTTGAATCTGAACTTAGGTATTCCTGTTTCCCCTAAACCGACTGTCACTCCACAGTTAAGGCCTGGCACCCAACTGAGAACCTTACTGTGGGGTCTCTGTCTGTCTGATAGGGCAGTCATTGTCTCCCCTCAGACTTTGAAAGAACCCACTCTCTGAGCACCCAAATGCCATTTCTTCTTTCCCTCACACATATGGGGAGTCACATGGGGAAAACACTCTAATGCTATCCAAGCAGATGTCACCTCTTTTGTTGTTACTGTGTTCATGGGTGTCAAAAGGAGAGAAGGGTGTCACTTCTCTGGTGTCCTTTCTTGGCACAACCAGAACGCTCCAGGCTGGCTCCTGGGATCCTTTAGTCTGGAATTTCTGGAGATATATTTGTGTGTTCCTGCTTGTGTCCCTTGCTGTTGTAACCCTGTACCTTGGGAAGTTCTCTCCATTCCCACACGCCGGGTGAGTCAGACCCTGGAGTCAGTTGTTTACCTTGAAGACCCATCATAGTGGCTGGAAGTCAGGGCTCTCAGTCTGGCAGTGCCGGTGTGCCCCTGAGATGTGCCCCAGATGTGTGCCCCGGAAGTGTGCCCCTGAGGTGTGCCCCGGAGGTGAGAAGTTTTCTCAGGTTGTACTGAAGCCGTGCTTGGCTCAATTTCTGCCCCAGGCAGAGAGGGCTGAGGAGACCATCATACCTTCACGGCTAACAGAGTCTCTTGGGCAGATTCAAGATCGTTCCCACTCTTCCTCATGGGCTCGTCCGTGTAGGTAGATCTGGGCTCACAAAGAATCCTGCCAGGTAGTTTAACCAGATTCCCTCACCCCCCTCCAATCAGATTGCCAGCCTTATCTTATACCCTGCATCCACCAGGGAGCCCACACCTTCCTCCAATGAGACTCCTAGAAACCATTCTGACCTATAATTGGTCTCACTGCATCCCTCAAGGTTGCCTGCGTCATTTCTCACCCTCCGATCTACACCTGCTCTTGGCCTGAGTCCC